AATTAATAATAATAATAAATTAATAATAGTAATAAAAATTTAAGTTAGTATTATTTTGTAATGTTAAAAATTTAAAAAAATGTAGTTCAGTTATTGTAATGATTGAGAGCAAAAAGTGGTGAGTGTGTTATTGCAGTTTCAGAAAATCGTTTCTTTTAAGTATAATGTTATTCGTTTGTAGGTGCAAAATGTTGATACCAGTGTCTTCCACTATTTGTAAAGAAATAAATTTAAATGCCCTAAAATATGTATTTTCCTATATAAATTTTTAACTTTGAAAAATGGTTGAAAAAATCTTTAATTTTCAAAATTTAAAAAAAATCTAAAATTATTATGTTTAAAATATCGAACATGATTTTTACTAATGTCAAAATTTCAAAAAAAAACTTTTATTAAAAAAAAGTTTAATATATCGAAATTGGGATTTTAATTTTAATTTTTGATTAAATTCTAAAGCTCACTTATATACTTGAAATAAATAATTTATATTTGCAATTCATACTTATGTTAGAAATATGAGATAAGATCCTTCATTCTAACTCTGTCGTATCAAAGTAGTTTTCCAATTTTTATATCTTATATTTTGTCTATAAAAATTAAAATAAAGAAAGTTACAGTATTTATAATAATCTATTTGAAAACATTTAATATGCATCGAATATTTCATCACGGTACGGGAAGTTCCAGCAATTTGCCTTAAGGCATGATGCCATGCACCACTAGTTTGATCTATTTTTTGATACATTTCATATGTCTTTACAAATATTTCACACTTCTAAATGAATTTAACACTTATACAACTATTGGCACTATTTTTTATATATAAAATATGATATTCTATTCTATAAAAATAAGTCGGGTTTTCCTTCCTTCGATATAACTCCAGAACGCACGAACCGATTTCGACGATTTTGCATTCCTTGGAAAGGTCTCGGACTCCGCGAGGTTTATAGCAAAGAAAATTGAAGAAAGATTTCAACAGAAAAGCGGAAAACACTTTTTTTCACATACAGCGTCATCTCTGATACTTAACATGTACTACAAACTAATATTTTTTGTTTGACTGCTACTCATTATTCTCTGCTCAGTTAATTTTATGTGACAAGCCGGCATTGTGTTCACTGTGAAATTGCAAAAAAAGTAAAAAAAATAAGTTATTCGTTTCCTAACATTTCAATTGGAAACCATCAAATCAATCACATGTATTGTGTAAATTTGTATTCAATTTCAACAGCAGGCAATTTTTTTCTTTATCTTTTAATCACCAAACGAAATGTTACATAAATGAAACCATCTGGTGGTGAAACTGAAATTTTATATGTCTTTACACTTATACAACTATTGGCACTATTTTTTATATGTAAATATGATATATTTTATATGTCTTTACAAATATTTTACACACCTGAATGAATATAACACTTATACCACTATTGGCACTATTTTTTATATGTACTTATATATTTTTATATTTATATTTCTGTTTTTTTTTTCAGAACAATGTTGAGAAACTGAGTCAGAAATTTTGACGTGGAAAATGCTTGATGTTTGCAGAAGTCAATTTTTTATATTGTAGTATAGAAAGGACCAATTTTTAAATTAGAAATGGTAAGTATAGTATTTTTATGTACACTTAATGTCTAACCGAAACTGGGTGATAGTATTTTCCTTAACTATACTGAAAAAAATTAGGTTTTTATTGTTGTACTTAAAATTTTTCAATAATAAATTTATTGAGTATTTTACTATTTTACAAACCTGATTAAAGTGCTCCAACTTTTGATGAAATGGGCCACCATACTTCAGTACATTTTTGTTAATATAATAGTTGAATAAAAAGTCTTAATTCTTGAAAACTTGGAGCAATTGTGTTATTATTTTTTTACTGTGGTGCTACAAATTTATTCACGGTTATGGTTCCAAAGTATTTTACAAAATAATTAAAGTAAACTACAAAAAACGAATAATGGTCATAATTTTACAAAAGCTATAGGTTGCACTTAAAAGCTCATAATTTCACCAAATCTGTAGGTTGCACTTAAAAGCTCATAATTTTCAAACAAACAAAGTGAGATCCTTTTTTCTCATTTTTAAGGTCCATACTGTCACCTTGTTTCTATCAATAAATATCAATAAAATGTGTACAAGTGTGAGTAAGTGCATTTAAGTGTATGTAAGTGCAATTGTGTCTAAAGCACATAAGTGTATAAACATATATATATATATATATATATATATATATATATATATATACATATAAATTTACTTTAACTTGTATATATATTTTAAAATGTCTAAAACAATTATTTTTTCCACTTCTCAATACATTTCATAGTATGTGTTTGCGAATTCAAGTGAATGCTTCCATAGTGTTATGGGGTCAAGGTCATTGCAAGGGCGACCTCGTTTACGACCCCATTGTTTGACGAGATGAAAAACCCTATGCCGGTCGTTTTCCTCCATTTTATTGTCAGGGGAGTACCCCTACCTTTTCTTCCCTCCCAAACCTTGAGGACAAGGAATACTTGGGGGCCAGAAAGGACAATAATAACGAGATTTATATAATACAACATCTGAGCGGATCAGAGACATGGACTCTATATATGTAGCAACGCGAGTTGACGAAAAATGAGGAAAACAATAGAGTAGAGTCATGACAACTCGACATTTGTAACCAATCATTTTTTTTTTTGGATTTTATACATCTTCATAAAAAAATAAATTTACTGAATTGGTGACCCAGACGTGATTGCGTGTTCGAACCAAATTAGTGAACCCCGAAGTGTCACCAATTTAGTGAATTTTTTCCACTATTTTTAAAAAATATAATAGTAGAAAATTGCAAAAAATATGATTGGTTACAAATATTGTGATTACTATATTACGTTGCTATTGGTTTCGTTTCCTCTTAAAACCAACGCCAACTCGTATATATCTTATATATAAAATTCTTCTGTAATGATGTATTTAAATATCCTCCTAAACGATTATTCGAATTTTGATAAATCTTTCTGAAGTTTATTAAGGAAATGTTTTAGGATGTACGTGATTATTAAAATATTGTAATATTGTAGAAATAAATAGAAAAAAAAATGCTAAAAAACTACGTGCCATTGCTTGATATTGAAAATATTTGAGGCATCGTTTGATATTGAAAACAAATGAAAACTGTCATCTGCCAAAAATTCCAATTTACTTATGAGCCTAGACAATATTAGAATATGTATAATAAATTCATGATTATGAATAAGAAAAATGAAATGTCTACCTCCCAAATAAATCGCATAAAATGCCCAAAATAAATAAAGAGAATGTTTCAAAAGCATTCATTAATGATAATAATGTTAATAATAAACTTTTAAAACTGGTAAAATAATAGGTGGAGGGGCACTAATAAAAAAATGGCATGTTAATGCAAAAGACCCCAGAAGTGTCCCTGGTGATAATGTATATTAAATTATTTCTAAGTAAGATGTAATTTAGATATTAAAATTGCTAAAAACCAGTTAAAGATTATAAAAATTATAGGCTACATTATTGGAGCAATTATTTTGGTATGAATAGTAATTTAAATTACAATGATAATTATTTTTAGGTAAACGTTAAATATTAGTATAGGATATTAAAAAAATTGTAGGCTTGGATATAGGACATCTGTCGGTCATCTAGTATATATGTATATATATATATATTTATATATATATATATATTATATTATGTGTATGCGTATGTGCGTCTGTAAATGTTAAGTGAATTCTTCCTAAATGTTTCTAAAAGTCTTTGAAAAACTTTCGGAAAGAAGTTCAAAAGCTCAAAAGCTCGCTCTAAGTTCTTTTCATGTAAACAAGTTGAATCTTTATTTCTTTTATTCGCAACTTAAGTTTTCACAGACGCGAAAACAAATTAAATTTAGTTGATATATGTCTAGATGATATGTGAAGAGCAAACAAAACGGTATGCTATTATATATTCATTTATATATTATTCCTTTTCAAGGTTACAACATATCATTTGGATATTTTCTGGAAATGGCGAGCGGTTCCCAGCACAAAAAATACTCAGTCCCGAATGCAAGCGGTTCTCGTGGCTACGTCAATTACGGGTAAGACTCACCTGCTTGTCTTCAAAAATCTTCTCCAGTTTTGTCAACATTCATATTTTTTTCAGAGCCAACTCCTCCGTCATTACAAACGGCATAAAATCCAATAGTCTTCCAGCAAATGCGAGTCTCCTACACCTCCAATACGATCCCCAGACGATTGAACCAGATATCGATTCCTTGTTTTCCACTAAGATTCCAGTGTCTAAAAATAAGGACTTGTCCAAGTCGCCACTGAAAACTTTGGAACAAGCTTTTTTGTCGTTGAAGAATCCGGATAGATCGAGGAGCAAGGAGTTGGTGAAGTCGCCGTTGAAGGATAGACGCAGGAGCAAGACTAAGGATCATGGGCGTAAGTCTTTAGATGGCTCGGAACAAGATTGTGAGGCTTTGTTGTCAATTGAAGCGGAAACGCTGAAGGAGCATTCACAAAACGTTCAGGATTTATTTGCTATTAAAAATTGTGCAAAGGACCATGATGGATCTACGCGTCATCGTAAAGACTTTTTGGCCAAAACCAATTTTGGGTATCCCAGTGATCTTTACAGGATGCCTCAACAAAACTTTGAGCCTGATCCAGTGTTTTCATCAAAGATCCTTAAAGACCAAAGTAGTTCATCGGACGATTTCGAAACGCCTTTGTTATCTGACCAAAAACTTGACAATGACAATATAGATTTGAAGAATTTGAAGTCACCACGTAAGTTGTCCAAAAACAACAAACTGGCAGAAACCAAAAGGCCACCTAGTGGTAAAAACTCAGGACGTTACACTAAAAATTCCAAAACAACCTGCGTCGATTCCAAGACTGATCCTCAAAAGTCTTTACGTTCTAGTTTCAACAACAAGGTTGGATCTTCTCAACATGCGGCTAGGAGTGATGTAAAAATCCCCAAACCTTCAGCTGATTCTAAGTCAAATTCTAAAATTTCAAAGCCTAAAAGTGATGCAAAAGTGGAACAATCCAAAATACCTAAAAATGTAACCAAAACGAATCAAAATTAGCACCAAATTGGATTTGAAGTCAACGTTTTTAAAGACTGATTTAAGATACAAAAAGTGCAACCTAAAAGACTATGATGATTCAAAAACTCATTCTAGAAAGACTTCTTTGAGCAATGGAACCAGCAGTGATGGAAAAGCCGGAGGTGATGTTCAGGAAAATAGAGTAATTGAATTTTTGGAAGTTGCTCCACAAACTTTTGCAGGTTTAACAAAATTTCTGTAAATGTAATAAATAATGTTGGTTAACCAAACATTATGTTTCAGAACAAATAACTTTGTTGGATCTTCCATCATTTACTGCTATCCAAGCTGAAGAACTAACAAGTTGTGCATGGAATAGCAGAAATAAACTAAATGTGGCTCCTAATGTTGTGGCATTCACCAGACGGTTCAATAATGTCAGTTTTTGGACAGTTTCTGAGGTAAAAGGTTTAAATCACATTCAAAAACATACTTTGTCTAATATTACCTTTTATTTCAGGTTCTGGCAGGTCCAACTCCCAAAAAACGTTCCGAACACATATCTCACTTTGTAAAAATAGCTCGTCATCTGCACTCTTTGAATAATCTTCATGCACTTTTTGCAGTTATTTCTGGTTTGCAAAGTGCAAGTATACACAGGCTGGATAAATCCTGGAATTTGGTTCAGAAAAAAGATAAATTGACCTTTGAGAAACTGGCCAGTGTGTTTAGTGAAAAGGAGAACTGGAAAGTGTTGAGGGAGTACCAGGACAGTCTGCGGTTACCTTGTATACCATACTTGGGTAAGAAGAGGAATTATTTAGAAAGAATTTTGTTAGTAGAATTTACACATGATTTACCCTATTTTTTAGGTTTATTTCTAACAGACTTTGTCTACATTGACATGTCACAGCCTGCAAGTCAAAGGTCCAGAAAAATGGACAACATCTTAAGAGTCATTGCACTGTATCAACAATCAAGATATGATGAATTGAAAGTTGATCAGGCTGTCCAGAAATATTTGGAAAGAGTGAAGTATATTGAGGAGTTGCAGAGGTTTTTGGAAGACGACCAGTACAAGTAAATAATAAACATACATATTTATTACACTTACAATTGTTATTGTAATGAAACCTTTACCTTGTCCAGATTATCTTTAAAATTAGAGCCACCTGCAACCAGTACAATGCAACAGAATAAGAAAAATGCGGAATCTACTGATTCTAACATTGATGCCAATGGTGATCTTCAAAAATCTAGTCAACTATCCAATAACATGATACAAGGTAAAAGAAATTTAAATAAAAATAAATATTAAGGTTTTTTTAATTATTTATTATTTCTATTTAGAACAAACAAGAAACATGGCATCATTGAATCTCTCACCAGCAAAAGCAAAAACAAAACCAACACAAACAACTCCAACAATCCAACAAGTACCACCACTTCTGGCAGTTTAAGAATCTCAAATCCTGTTGCCAAATTTATACCAGGACACAGAAATGTAGAAGTTTAGGACAAAGTGAGTAAAAAACAATTTTCTGTTAGTAGATTGCAACTAATTTTGTTGGATGATTTAGTATTTTCTACAAAACGAATCAACCTTCTCTGAATCCGAATGGATCAACCGAAAGTACAAATGCTTCTGTGGAAGCTATTGAGCAGTATAATTCAAGACATCTGCTGGATGATTCTTTGTTGGAAGATTCCAAGAAGCCTGAAATGCAGTCTAGGATGTGTGAGAGCCTTGGGAGGAATTTTACTCCTGGGAATGTTAATGGAAAATATTGGTAAGTAATAAATTGGTAAAAGTTTAGTGAAATGTGCCATTTTAACAAGATTTGTAAATGCTGGATGTATTTACCAATTATTCACCAATAGTAGTCTGCCTGTTTACATTCCTACTTTTTTACTTTTTCACTTGTTTACCTTGTCTACACATCCATCTGTTTACTAGTCTTTTTCCTACATCTTCACTTGCTAACTTGTTTGCCATCTGCTCTTCTCCTTTTCTACTTATTTACCTATTTACCTGTCACCAATAATTCTACTTCTGATACTGATCTGTATTGATAATTTTGACCACGAAATGGCGTTTTTTGCAGTTTCCATAACTTACACACACAGCTTTACCTGTCTATCCATTCATCTGTTTACTAGTATTTTTTCCTACTTCTTCCTGCTAACTTGTTGCCATCTGCTCTTCTCCTTTTCTACTTATTTACCTATTTACCTGTCACCAATAATTTTACTTCTGATACTGATCTGTATTGATAATTTTTGACCACCAAATGGCATTTTTTTGCAATTTCCATAACTTACTCCACAGGGCAGTTAATTAAAACTTATTTATATATATTTTTATCTAAAAGGGCTCATCAGGACTAACATCATCATCTCTAGCAAAGACTCAAACACATATCGAGAACACAGCGACATCACAGCGATCCACGAAGGTTTGTGCGGAGAAAAACGGTACTAAGGGAGCACAGAAAGACACCATTGGTGACGCAGTGGCAAAGATTTTGGATGCAAGTTGTCAACAGATTCTTTGCACTATTATGCTGCCAATCATTCAAAGGGGTAAATAAATAAATGGTATCTAAAACAAGTCCTGGAACCTAAAATTTGATTTTTTATCTCAGGAATGATCGTCCTGATTTCAAGAGAGATCCGCAAAAATCTACTTTATTACTCGGCTGGACCGTGAATGAAATCCAAGACCAGTCTTCAAACCGTGATGACTCTTCAGAAGACTTGGCCTTTGAGTTGGTAAACAGGATAGAAGGTAAGGCATACAGATTCAAATGCCCTAGTGCTAGTGATTGTAATCATTGGAGAGAAAAACTGACAAAACAAATTGAAAACTTAATGAAAATTACGGTGTGGAGAACAATGATGTCTTGCCTGCTAATTTGATGTCGTTGAGTAAAATTTTATTGTCATCAGCCTATTTTTTTGGTCTATTCAACTCGAATACATATCTTGAATTGCAATATCGGTTAGTTGTAATGAATTTAGTCAAAATCTTGCCAATTAGTTTAAATAATTAAATTTATATATAAATGTTAAAAGACTTTTGTATTTGTTTATATTATGATTAGTTGTAGTTGTCGTTTATGCATATCTTTAGTGGTAAAATAATTTATTGGAGTTGTCTACTCTTCGGATGTTATTTATGTATATATGAATATTTATATATGTTTACTATCTTGAAACAAATGAACTCGTTTAAGATAATTTGAGCTTTAAATTCAGAGGATCAAAGATTGCCTCTTAATCTAAAATTGATATAGATTTTTAGAATTTTTGTATTATTTAGGGCCCTAAAACTTGCCTTAGGTACACACTAGTATCTATATCATCTCGTACTACTAAGACCTAATATTAATTTAAATGAATTGTATTAGTAAATTCATTTTTAAATAGTTGGGTTCACTTTAATAAATATTTTTTTTATAAGAATATATTTTGAAAATGGGGCCTAAATGGTATCTTTGAGGTACACCTGTTTATACAACAGTTTTAAAATGAAGTAAGTTCATTATTCCAAGACAAATGTGCTTGTTTATTATAATTGAAGCTATGGATAATTTTTTCTTAAACAATTGAGACTTTTCCAGCTTTTTAAATGTTTTTAAATTTCTAGAATTATTTGGGCCTTATAACGTTCCTCCTGGTTTACCAGTATTTATATAATCTCGTACTACTGAGGCCTAAAATTAATTTAAATTAATCAAATTATTAAATTTATTTTTTAAATACTTGGATTGACTTTTTGTACAATTTGTTAGAAAATAAAACCGCTTATTTCAAAATGGGGCCTAGCTAATAACCTTGAGGTATACTAGTTTATATGAAATGCTTCAAAATAATTAAAGTTTATCATTTATAATCAAGTATACTTGTTAATTCTAGTTCAAGCAGTGACTAATATTCAAGCTGTGGATATTTTTTTATGTTTTGATAAACGAAAATTCATATAAGGCCTTATTAGTTACCTTGAGGTACACCAGGGTTAATATAATCTCGTACTAAATTACTAAATTGAAATTATTAAATTTGTTTGATTTTTTGTAAACGAATTTGGTTTGACAAAGATTACGGAATATATTTTGAAAATGAGGCCTAACTAAATAAAACTATATTGTTTATCTTTTTATAGAAGGTTTAGATTGATTTTTTTCTAATGCACAAAGATAGTATGATTTATTTTGAAAATGGGGCCTAGCTGATAGCTTTGAGGTGTACCAGTTTATATAAAATATAAACGTAGATCCATCATGTTTTTGCCTTTCCACATTTATTTATATTTGATGTAACTATTTGTACCCCGATAGTAACTTTAATGTAACGATTCTATATAATTATTGAAATAGGTCTTAGCAAGCTACCTTGAGACACCTCTTTTCATATATTCATATCGAGAAATCTTTCTATTTTTGTATTTGCATATTCTCTTTTATTTTTATTTTCATACTGCGTTTTTGGATGTTTGATTTTTTGAAAAATAAAATGGTTTGGTCTTTGTAAGCAACTTTGAGGCACCCCTTTCCATATAATCATATCGAGCAGTGATTCTTTTAAATTTATCTGTATATTTTTTCCAAAATGTGTTCTTGGATATTAGATTTTTGAAAAAAAAAATTGTTATCGTTGTTGTTTAATTTGTTTAATAGATTTATAAACAAACGTAGAGCCTTCTCATGACCTGTTTTATTTAAATTGTAAAAATGTATAAATGTTAAATATAATTTGTTATTATATATGTGACTGAACTTAGATGTAATATTGTAAATGTGTAGATAAAACTATTATATATATATATATATATATATATAAATAATTAAATGCTTTTGTGTATATGTATATGAAATACTCGAGAAAGTAATATATCAAGTTTTGCCTAAGAAATTTAGTTCATGTTTATAATAATAATAATATTTTTTTTTTTTTTTTCAGAAAATTCCAACAGCCAACCATGTTTTCTAAGTCATTCTAAATCGTTTGATGTTTAAATTGGGGAAAGTTATCAAAGTTTGAGTTTTTATCGACGGTATTTCAATTTTCTTGTTGAGCCTAATGAAGTTCTACTTCAAAAATGTTAAGTTGCATTTTTTATTGTTTATGGGGTTTTGTTTCAAAGATCTGTGAGTAGAATGTGATGAATTTTAATTTGTTTTAAATTATTGCGATTTTTTAATCGAGTTGAGCCTAAAGAAGTTTTACTTCACAAATGTTAAGATGTAATTTTTATTGCTTGTGGGGTATCGTTTGAGCGATCTGAACGAGTAGAATGTGATTTTTACGAAAAATTTCAATTTGTTTTAAATTATCACGCTTATTCAATTTTCTGGTTGAGCTTAAAAAAGTTTTACTTCAAAAATGTTAAGTAATGTCTTGTATTGCTTATGGGTTATCCTTTGAAAGGTCTTGACAAGTAGAATGTGATTTGTATGAAAAATTTTAATTTAATTTAATCTACGAGGTTATTCAATTTTCAAGTTGAGCCTAAAGAAGTTTCACTACAAAAATGTTAAGTTGTATTTTTTATTGCTGTGGGGTATCGTTTGAAAGGTCTGGTTGAGTAGAATATGATTTATGTGACAAATTTTAATTTGTTTTGAATTATCGCGATTGTTCAATTTTCTAGTTGAGTCTAAAGAAGTTTTACTTCAAAAATGTTAAGTTGCATTTTGTATTGCTTGTGGGGTATCGTTTGAAAGGTCTCGTCGAGTAGAATATGATTTATACGACAAATTTCAATTTGTTTTAAAGTATTGCGCTTTTTGAATTTTCTAGTCGAGCCTAAAGAAGTTTTACTTCAAAAATGTTAAGTTATATTGCTTGTGAGGTATCGTTTGAAAGGTCTTGACGAGTAAAATGTGATTTATGTGATGAATTTTAACCTGTTTTAAATTTAAGCGGTTTTTTGTTTGAGTTGAGTCTAAAGAAGTTTTACTTAAAAAATGTTAAGTTATATTTTTTATTGCTTGTGGGGTATCGTTTGAAAGATCTCGACGAGTAGAATGTAATTTATATGACAAATTTTAATTTGCTATAATATTATCTCGGTTATACAAGTTTTTTGTTGAGCCTAAAGAAGTTTTACTTAAAAAATATCTTGTATTGCTTGTGGGGTATCGTTTGAAAGGTCCTGATGAGTAGAATGTGATTTAAATGACAATTTTTAATTTATATCAAACTATCGCGGTTAAATTATTAATTTAATCGATTTACTCGTATCGTGAAGTGCATGCAATTTGCCTGAAGGTAAATTCTCACTTACACCTAGTTTAATTACTCTGTTTAAATTTTTATATATCGTTTAGCTTTCTATAAAAGACAAAATTAAGGAAATAAAACGCTTTTTGAATTGAAATTATTGAAATCGAAACTTGAACACTTTCTTTAAGGTTACGGTTTGAATTTTAATTTTCAATGCGATGCGAATCGGTAATGACCTTTTGTATATATAAATTTATATATATATATA